CTCTCTCTCTCTCTCTCTCTCTCTCTCTCTCTCTCTCTCTTTAAAAAAAAAATTTGTTATGAGGGCTGGGCGGTGGCTCAGTGGTAAAGCATAAAGCACTTGCCTGGCATGTGTGAGGCACTGGGTTCGATTCTCAGCACCACACGTAAATAAACAAAATAAAGGTCCATCAGCAACTAAAACTATAAGGAAAAAAAACTTGTTAAGATGTCAAACTCATGCTATGTCCGCTGTATAAAAACAAACTCCACACACAGTATCTGCTGGCAGAGTGAGGCTTCCATGGTACATGAGCCCTGGCTCTGAACTATATCGAAGATTCGGACAGTGCCTGCTGCTCTGCACACTGCAACCTGCGGCTCTGCACGCTGCCCAACTTATCAAGCGGGCGTTTCAGGAAGCCTGGTCCAGTAGCACGTGTGTGGCCACACAGCCCCGAGGAGCCTGCCCGCTCTCTCCTCCTCCATCAGGAGGATGGAAGGTGTCCCTGCTTTTAGACTAGTGCTGTTTGGAAGGCGAGGAAGTAAGACAGAAAGGAGCCCTAGTGTAAGGGCTGCTGAGCTCTGGTGGTGCGGCCATCAGCACAGCGAGCCATCTGCAGGGAACCACTCGCTTTTCCCACGAGCTCTCAGCACTGAGGGTGTAGGAGGGACATCAGTTTGAGCCACACAATTCTCAGTCAGTCAAAAAAATCTTTTGGCAAACACAGCTCTTCCAGAAAGGGTTTTATCACACTTTACACGTTTAGCCTATCGCAGTCCACGTGAAGACTAAGAGGTCACAGTGGAGTGGTACACGACGTGGCCTCAGGAGAAGCCACAATCCCATAACACACGTGCTTGCCCTCTCAGAAGCCCTCCACAGACATGTTTACAGTGCAGAAGCCTCGGGTGCACCGAGGACACCTCAGGCTGCCTGCAGGTCTCCTCCAAAGGCCACCTGGGCACACACAGATAGCCCTTGTTTCTAAAAGCATCACTCGTCTCAAAACCGGCCTCCCATGTGCCCTGCCCTTGAGCTGTAGGCAGCATGCCCTGTGTACTATGCCATGTGAGAAACAGAAGCCCAAGGAGCGTGCCATCCCCAGCAGCTGGAGGCTGAGCTGAACTGCAGCAGTGTCAAGACAGCGCCCAGCTGCATGCACACCACCAGCACCCGTGGGGACAGAGATGTGACCAATGATCACAACTCCCAATGCATTTGTACCCAAGGACACCGATAAGGCACTGCCCATATAATACACGCCACCAGGGTGAGCGCCAGACACAGCAGTGTTCCCAGGTCCAGGAAATAATTTATAGTCAGAAAAACCAGACACCAAAAAGAAGTCTCCAACGGCTTGCTTGGCTTCTGTGACAGATTCCACACTTTTCTGTGCAGCCCGCCTGCCTAGACTGCCATCACCCAGTCACATCCCTTCCCCAGCAGTCCCAGGTATCTGCAGTGCTCCAAGACATCTGCTTCATGACGGGACTCCTCTGCCTAGCACACCTCCTCCCAACCATGGCATCTGAAAGTCAGTCTGCCAGGAGCAAGGAGCATGGCCAAAAGCCAGTCCCCCAGGCAAACTTCACTTCCTGGATGGCAACTTACCTGCCCAATATCACACTCACTGGAAACCCTCCAAAATATGTAGCAGAGCTGCCCTAACCAACCCCTGACCGACTCTCTGGGCTGCCCGATGTCCTCCGGGCCCTCTGCAGCATGCCCTGCTGGGGTCCATAAAATGCCAACACTCACAGCCAACAGACCCTCCTAAAGTGCCTATGGGACAGCCCCTCAGGACAGCAATGGACCTAACAAGCCAGGTGGACTCTTTAATATTGTATCACTGTAACTATTTATTTCATTATTATGTAAACAAACAAAAATGAGCACAGAAGGGCTGACAATTCTCTGAGATGCTCTCAAAAGATCTGTCAAGACAAACTGAAAACAGAAACTATCCCATGTCCACCGTGAATGAGCAGACCACACTCACAGAATTCCAGGGGCCCTCCAAGTCGGCTTTCTATCACTGCGACACCACAGTTCACATAATGAACTCACAGAGCAAAGGCCCAGGTCTCTTGTGGTCTGGATGTGATGCAGGGTATTCAGAGGTGAGGCCACTGATCATGCTAGCTGCAGCCTCATTAGCCCAGACTCGTCTGAATGAGTGCTGGGTGGTACCGGTGGTAGGTGGGCATGGATGGGGGAGTGGGTCCCTGGGGTTGGTCCTGGAAGGGTGGCCCTTCCCCTCTCTGCTTCCTGCTCCATCATGAGCTGAGCAGCTTCCCTCTGCTGGCCCTTCCCCCAGGACATGCTGCCCAGCCTTGGGACCAGAGCAACAGAGCCAGCCATTTATGGACTGAGACCTCTGAAACCACGAGCCCAACTACACTTTTCCTCCTCTACATTGCTTTTGTCAACTCAGAAGCTGACTAAAGCGCAGCATTAGAGATTCCAGAGCGTGATGGGCAGACTGGTTGCTTTAGGCCTTTGGTGGGGCACCAGACACCTGCAGTGGGGAGCACACTGCTCACCCCATGGCAGGAGGCCAAAAGTGAGAGCGAGAGGGGGGTCCCACAATGCCCTCTGGGGGCATGACCCCAAGGACCTAAGGCCCTCCCATGAGGCCCTTGTCCTAAAGGTTCACAGCACTTCCCAAAGCACACTCCAGGGCCCAAGCTTTTAATGCTTGGGCCTTTGGGGGACATTTACCACATGAACTACAACATGTTCTAGACTCAGATAGCATTATAAAGCTGGGGGTTACTAACGACATGAACACATGCACCAACTGTGCCGAAAAGCAGCATAACCCAGGGAGTAGCCCCACGTTGGAAGAACGCAGCTCTTGACCTACACCAAACACAATCTCCTCACAGCAAGCAACAGCCTCTCCTGGGTGTCAAATAAAAACTCTCGATTCCCAGGTACGAGGAGCCACCAGGGAACACTGCCTGTTGCTCAAATTGTTACTCAAAAGTTACTTATTTAAAATTAAAATATTGAAAGCATGTTAGTATCTTCAAAATTTATCAGAACATATTTTGTTAACCAACTACTGCTAAACAACTGTGAGAAGGAGGGCTTCTCTCTACCTTCAGCCAGGCCAATCTGCCACAGCCATTCGGCAGCCAAAGCCAGGGTGTGTCGGGCGCACCCAGGGCTATATTGCCTAGGCTTGTGTCACTCCACCATGGTGACACAATGACAAAATCCCCTAATGACACATTTCTCATATCGTAGCCCTACTGCTAAGTGACTTGTAACTTCATCATCATCTTCTTTTTTTGTGTGCTGCTGGGATCAAATCCAGGGCCTCGTGCATACTAGGTAAGCACTCTACCACTGAGCCTCATCCCTGGCCCTTTAATTTTTTAAAGTTGCTGAGGTTGGCCTTCAACTTATGACCCTCCAGTCTCCCAAGCACCATTGCACTCAGCAGGAATCTGCACTTTTACAAGATCCCAGGGGTGCTATGACTTCAAAAGTGTTGTCCTAAACAGCAGTGGCTTGTCCAGGACTGAGTAGCTGCCAGGCCTACAGCTGACCCCATGAGAGCACCACTGAGAGGGCTGGGTCTGGACTCACAAGACGAGGCTGTGACTCTGCTTTTCCTAGGAATATGGCCTTCAGTAGGCCATCATCACTGCACCTCCACACCCTCTCCTGGGCGATGGCACACATCCTCCACACGAAGGGTGCTTCAGGGCTCTGTGAAGGCTGGCTATGAAGACCAAGGAGGTCTAACTTACTGCAGCTTCAGCTACTTACAGTCATTCTTGGTCCAAAAATACTGTGAGAAGCTCCAGAATTAAACAAGTCATAACTTTTAATTAACTTTTGTCACAGCACAGTGTCGTGACTACTCCACTTCATCACCAGTTATTGGTGTTGACTGACTATGCCTAACTTATAAATGACCTGGGCATGTGTGCACAGAAAACAGCACAGCCTGGGAGGGGTGTGGCTGCTGGGGGGCTTTGGCACCCCATGGGCCTAGGAGGCACGCTGTAGATGGGGGTACTCTGTACATGAGAATGGGACACAGGTGACGTGGGAGCCACGTCAGAACCCAGCAAGTGCTGTGAAGGTGACTGGTGGGCACCTCCCAGACCTGGCCCACTGCAGGCCAGGCAGAGACAGAGGTGTGTGGGACACGGTCCTGCCTTTCCCTGGCTCATACCCTGACAAGGAGAGAACTGGGTGACTCCTCCCAAGAGCATATACAGAAAGCGAATTGATAAGTGACCAATTTTGCCCTGACTTTGAATGAAAGTCTAACTTTCCTGACTAAGCAAGTGAGAGAACCATGAAATGCAGAAAATGGTGAAGGACAGAAAAACCTGCGTATGTGAGTCTCCCCAGGTGGGGAAAGGCCAAGGAGCGAAGAAAGGGACCAAACAGATTTCAAATATGTAAAACCACACAAAATACACATTCTAGAGAGTGCTCTTATTTTTCTTTCTTAAAAAAATATTGAACACTATATCTCAGAAGATGCTTAGCGATGAATACTCAAGTTCCAGGCTAAGGCATTCAGGGTTAACCCAGAAAGAAGGTCAAGTCTTTAGGCTCTGCTGGCGTGTTTTGCCTGCCAAATCCTCGTTTTTCTGGGGTTTTTTGTTTGTTTTGTTTTCTTAATTTGCTTTAAGAACAGATTCCCAAGAACTTGTAGCTTCAGCAATCTGCAAAGAAACACCACTGTCCTCTGGGATGGCTATACTGAAGGGACTCCCCACAGCTGCACAGCAGCACTGGGCCTAGAAACAGGCATGCCTCGAGCAAAGCAAGGCCTCGGATCTGGGCTTCCACCACCACATGCCCTGGGGCTTAAGGGCAATCAGACCCCCAGGGATCCAGGGACCAGTGCAAAGGTATCACTCACCAGCCAGGGCTGAGGAATCTCTGGCAGAGGCATCTGAGGGGGTGCTGGCAGGCTGCTGGCCTCTTGCTTCTGAACATGATCCTTCACTTCAAAACCTGCAAGTATTAACCAAACCCACAGAGCTGAAGGAGGAGGAGCAGGGGGCCTCTAGCAGCTATCCTTCCCCAATCCCACATCAAACACTCTGCAAACTCTAGGCTCTCTTAAGTTCTTACAACACTCCTTCAGGTTAGTACATCCTTCTCTATTTTACCAGTGAAGAATCTATGGGGAGGAGAAGGTGGGAAGGGGAAAGAAGGGGAGGGGAGAGGAGGCGAGGGAAGGGGAGGAAAGAGACAATCTCTACCACACACACACACACACAAAAAAAAAAAAATCAATAAATGGGTTTTTTAAAAGTTAAAGAGCTGAAGAAAGAATTAGTGAAGTGGAAAATATCAGCAGACGCATCCTGAAGGAGCACGCAAGACAGGGCGGGAAGCATGTCTGCACCCACCATCAACCAGGTCGCCACACCATGCACGTTCAGTGTGCTGGCAGATCCGCCACCTTCCTGACTGGCAAGGCAAGCTCTAATGCCAGGCCATGGCTTCACAGACCAAACACCAAGACACTGCATACCTGCGATGGTCTGCACATATCTCTATAAGGAAGTGTAAAGGAAAGACCCCTACATCTCCTCCAGCTCTGGACCTCCAAAATCCTAACCTGGTGTCCTCAGGAGGCCTCTGCCACGCTTGTCTCTCACTGGCCTCATTGGATTCTCCTCTTCAGTGCCTTCCTAATGCTACAACGATCCCCAACATCCTTGCAGGCCTCCTCAGTCCTATTTTTCTGTCTTACCCATTTTCAGAAAAGTTCACACAGTCCTCAGGCCTGAGGCTACTAGCTGAGGAGGGGCTGTCCTGCAGCCCTGGCCCTGGGCTGGCATCTGGGAACATGGATTTCAGGTGTGTTTCCTGACTGGTAATGCTGGTTGTGGTGCCTAGGCTGCTTGTGCAAACAGCGGGGCTTCTGCTGTACACCTGCTTTGATGAGAATCTGGAGTTCTGGAGGTGCGGGAGGTGCCTACACCCCTGAGCCCGAGTCTCTACGCTGCTTCCCTGAACAGAAACAGCACAGGCTGCCACACTTGTGCTGTTGAGGAGTCTGCTCTGGGTGACCCTCACAGGAGGGGGAGCACATACAAGCCCCCGTGTGGGTTCCCAGGGCTGTGTGGGGGTCTCTTCCCCTCCTTCAGGCAGGGCGAGTCTCTTCTCTGCCGTGTGATATGCCCTGGGCATGAACAAGTACCACTATGTGCTAGTCCCGAGTGTACTTCCAGCTAATGTTGGGGTGCTCTGGTGCTCTAGCACACCCATGATTCTGCTGACTCCTAAAGGCTTAATCTTTCTATACCCAGAGGTCAGAAGGAGATGGATATGCCAGATGCAGTGGATGAATAACTTGGGAAAAGTTGGTGAATAAAAAACTTTCACAGGTTACTGGACAAGGGAATGCCCTTCAGAGGAAGCAGAATTAAAGTGATGTCAGAGCCAAAAGAGCCTGGGAAGCGGGCAACGAGGTTGGACGTGACTACCTTTGGGCGACTGGATCCGCAGCAGGATGTTGGTCAGCGCAGCCTTCTTCTCCCTGACAGTTGCAGTGAGATACTCATGGTCCAGGAGTTCAAGAAAGAGGCGAAGTTCCACTATTAACTCTTCCATTGCTGGAAACCAAGGAGAGAGCAGGAAGAATCCCATTAGGCCCATTGATTTGCAAATGACAAAACAGGAAGCTAAGCCTCACTTGGAGCTGCTGTCCTTGGCTTGGTGGCCATGGAATGCACATCCCAACATGAGAGGCAAGTGTGCTGGAGCCAGGGACAACAGATTCACGCACCATCCTCTTTACAAAGGCCTCACTCCTTCCCTTTTGCTTTCAGGACCAAAACTCAGCTGGGAAAAGTGCCAAAGCTGGCTGCCAATAGATGGTGTTGTACCCAAAAGCTTGTGACTCTGCATGGGTGTCGGCATGTGATATTAAATTTCAATGGCAAGGAGGAGATGGGAGATTAAAATGCCAAAGCATTCGAGTAAGCATTCGAGTAAGCATGGCATGGCTTCAGAAGCACACCAGCCTCTGTGCTGCAGGCTGGCTCCACTGCCAGGACGCCAGTGAGCACGTTCCACCCCACAGCAAGGGAGGCTGATGCCCGGGGATCCCACCAGCTCTCTCCTCAGATGTCCACAGCCACTATGCCCGCAGCTGTAACTGATGGTGTGAACCTGGGGGACTGCAAACCCTGCTGGGGGTCCTCATGTCCACACTATCTCTTAACACTGGGGCCTTCCCAGCCTGTTCTACAAACCTGAGGGCAAAGGGTAAAGCGTCTAGCACTTGAGCACCAACATGCCAGCACCCACAGGACTCTCCACAGGTGAACAAGGGCCACTCTAAGGTGTACTTGATGCTGACTGTGTGGTAAAACCACCGCTTCTATTAAGTCTCAGCCCTTGAGGCCACCCCCCTTTCCCATCCTGTCAAATAAGTGACGCTCCTGCAGACGGAAGCAGGCTGGCCTTTGGAAAATTCACTGGCGCAACCACTGGACTGGGAGCCTCCTTATGCCACTGCTTTCATGTAGCTTGAAAGAATGAATGACAGGCCAGCTATGACTATCCAGACTTGAGCACCCGGCAGACACGTCCTCAGAAAGGAGCAGAGCGGGCAGGGCTGTGGCTCGGTGGTAGAGAACTTGCCTAGCAGGGGGGAGGCACTGGGTTTGATCCTCAGCACCAAATATAAATAAATGAAGAAAATACAGGTCCATCAACAATGAAAATAAATAATAAATTATATTTTTAAAGAAATGAGTAGAGTGCACTGTCACTTCAAGGTGGATGACTGACAGCATTTTTTCCCCAATGATAAAATTTGAGCTTCCAAGTGAAAATAAGAACTTTGGAAAATGTATATCCACCAGTGGAAGAGCTTGACAGTCTCCCTGTACCAAGAGCCTGGCCTGTCGGGATCAGGAGTGCCATCAACACACCTGAGTCTGCTGATGTTGCATAATGTAGTCTACATCTGCGAGGTCTGCACAGATGTTCTAAAATCACATGTTGATAAAAGATCCACCATAAGTACCAAACAAACTGCAGCACCCAGCATGGCGGAGGAGAGCACAGCCCGGGCCTCCACTGGCAGTGAGCTTTGGCCATGCCACCTCGCGTGTGTCAGAATCGACATTTTCTACAAAGGCTGTTGGAAGCCTCCTGTCCCCAACCACTCCTCTGAGCAAGACCAGGCTTCTCCATGATGATGCCTCAGGACAGTGTGGGTGAAGGAGAGGACCTAGAACGCAAGTGTTTCTACTAAGCCAGGGACAACCTGCTCAGAAGCCTGGAACCACACGGCTCTTCTCATCTCGTTTTGCCAAATGCTGCTGCTTTTCATAAACATGTCTTAAATGTGTTACCGTGAAATGGGCTGATAGAGTTTAGTGAACTGATTAACATCTTAAAATGTGCCAGTTTTAAACGGTAATGTGATAAATGTCCACATTTTCACCCACACAAATAAAAGCTCTTTGGGGGTCTTCAAAATATATTTTCAGACTAATAAGTCTGTGAATTGCTAATGTAGGCAGTTTTTTCATTTCTTCATCCATTCACTCATTCAGCAAACATCCTGTGTCAGAAATACACATCATGCACCTTGACCGAGGAAAACATAATAAAAATGATTCACACAAACACCTACTCAAAGGGTTAAAATGGTCAGTTATTGTCAGGTTCTTTTTTAACCCTAATTTAAAAAGAACCTGACAACATCAAAATATCAGAAGAGGGTCTCAGAGTGCAATGCCTAACCTAGGTTCCTCATGGAGCTCCCACTGAGCACTCTGTGCAGACCTCTGTGAATCTCAGATTTTAACCATCCTGGGGTCGGGGTGCCCAAACCACACCCCTCTCCTTGGGAGAACAGCTCCCAACAAGACCCCGCAAATCATCTCCCACACAGCACGGAGGCTAGAATTAACTAAGCCTAAGCCAAGCTGTTCAACTGGATTCTCCTTCCTGTATGTTCCACCAGGGAACCAGAAAGGCCAGCCATATCAGGGTCCACAGAGCAGTGTGAGGACACGCACGCCAAAGAGGAGAGCCACCCCGGGAGGGAGAGACGCAGCCAACATCTCAGAAGTCAGCGTGCTGGGGCAGGAGACCCCTCGAGAGGAAGAATTGGGTGATGATGTGACTGGGCCCGCAGACTCTCCCACCCCACTGTCAGTTACCTGGGAAACTGAGATGCACTTGAGGTCCATTAGGACATTCATCTCCTTCTAGTAAATTCTCATTTCATCTTTTTATTGAGTGAATATGGAGTTAGCTTCTGTTTACCTGATATTGCCGCCAAAAGACACTCAAAACCAGTCACAGCATCTCAGGATGCAAAGTATCTCCCTGTCAGAGAGCTGTGACAGACAGAGAAGGGAACGCACAATAAACCACATTCTACACTTGGCCATCCTTTTAATACTTGCCCTGTATGTCCCACCTTCTTAGTAGACACCTATAAGGTTTATTTGGGTTTTGTGGTGTTTTGATATTCTCATGCAGTCTAGCAGTCTCATGCTTTGCTTATCTCCAAACACCTTCCTGCCACCACGAGCTCAATCTGCACAGAAAGCACGCAAAGGTTCCTGGACAGGGAAATGGTGTTTCCAGAGAGCTGCGGCATGAAGGCTCTGGGTCTGCCACCACAAGGGCACTCGTGCTGCCCAGCTCAGAGTGGACATAAACACTGCTGGGGTCAGGTGTCAAGGAACTACAGAAGCACAGCACTTCAGAGAGGAGCCATCTGCAGGGCACAGAGACTTGGCAAAGGAGCAGGCAGCGTGAGTGCCCCCCGCCTCCTGGGGAGCCCCGGCCAGCACAGATGGAAGGCGATGGCAGCGACTCCCAGGCACATGGGGAGAAGGCTGTCTAGAACATGCCCCAGCCTCCTGACCAATGGGCCCCTCCTCCAGGTGTAGGCAGCGGCTTGTAATGGGCGATGGAAGGCACGCCACTAACACGGCACCACCACAGGTTTCCTTCCAATTCCTGTGAAGGAAACTGAATGATCAAATAGCTTTTAGAAAGATAACAGGTAAACAGGGGGAAACAGGGAGCCAACTGAGGATCAGGTCAAGGAAGGAAGACGGTCACTGCACAGTGAGGACGATGGCCCGGTTCTCAGTGCACTTCAGAGGAGAAAGTCCTTTAGCAGTGCAGGTACACGCAGAAATTCTGTCCAGAGAGGAGGCCACACCCACATTAGCACAGGACTGACTTGAGATGAAGCACCCTGAATGGGATGGCCACTGTGACAGCTCCACAGAGGACCAACAAGGTCAGAAACTCCATGGCCTGACGTGAAGGAGGAAGGAAACCCCGACTGTGAGGCTGAGGAGGTGCGCCCCGCTCTTGAGGCAACCAGAAAAGAGCAGCGGATTTGGAAGCAGCTCCCTTCCCTCGGCGACGTTCTCTGCTGGGGACCTGCTCCCCATTTGCGCGCGCTCCAGCTCGCCCCTCACTCTGTCCGGGCACCAAGGCTCTCTGGCTTGGCTTTTCGTGTCTGACTTGAACCTTTCCTCAGACACCAGAGCCGAGGTGTGGAGCCTCAGCTCCCCCTCTCCTGGACAGCCAGGGCTCACAAGGCCAGGGAAACCCAGGGACCCCCCCACTTCCTGGTGCCACTCCCTGCCTTGGCTTTAGACAGGCATTTCTTCACCATCTACAGACGGAGAGGCTGAGACTACAATGACACCTTTGCCCAAGTCCACAGGGTTCAAGTCAAGAGCTCGCCTTCCACGACACAGCCTCTCACGCCGAGACAGTGACTCCAGTTTTGCTCACAGAGAACGAGGACACTAACTTCTCCAAGACGACATCTGGATAACCCATGTCCACCACATGGAAAGGCTATTGGCACAGTGACATCCTTCAGGACCACTGTCCAACTGCACCCTACACCACCGTTGTCTAAACTCTTCTCATGGTAAAAAACAGAATCTTCTAGTTGGAAGAAGACCGGGCAGGACTCATCCAGCTCTCTCAGTCACCTGTGGAAACCCAGTGCAGGGGAGCTGAAGAGGCTCCTGGAGGCCCTGGAGGCCCTGCCGTCTGTGAAGCCCAGCCCCGGTCCGAGGGCTCTGCCTGCACAATCACAGACAGTTACATTCTCATAGGCAAAATGCTCATTTGATCCTCACAATGTTATTACAGATGGCAGAAAGGGGAGCCACTGGCCAAGGCAGCAGGCTAAGAATGGGCACATCTGCATGGGAGCCCCTCACCGGGCCAACACCCCAGCCCATACCTGCCACCTTATACTGCATTCAGACTGGGGTCAAGGACACAGGAATAATTGTCTTCCAGGAAAAGCATCTTCCCCAAATGCGCACAGCAAACAGAAGACCTGCCCTAGAACTCTCCCAGGCAACAGGGCAGACACCGCAGGTGGCTCCATAGGTGCTCCAGCATCTCAATAGTGAGTCCTCCCCCAGCCAGAACCACTCAGCTCTCCCATACTGACCAGCGTCCTGCAAGTCCCAAACAAGAAGAGAACAAATGAGCCAGAGAGAAGAAGAGACAAGAGCCCACACAGCCAGCACACCTGCTACGCCATCGGCCCCTGCTCTACCCAAAGCCAATCTGTGGCTTGGGCCAGGCCGTGAATTCA